AAAGATTAGACACTTTTATAAAGATCTATATAATGCCACATTATTTTGTTAAAAGTCTTGCTTAAATGAGCTGATCTTGTTAAATAAATGCAATTATTTGAAATTTTATTCTTTTACACATTTTTTATAACCTTGCAGTACTGAAAACGGTGGGTACTCTACCACTAAGTTACATTCCTAGTTCTGAAAAGTCCCTTTTTTCTTACTTTAATAAAATATTTTCCTATTACTTTCTTTGCTCACCTCTCATAGATTCTTATGAGTACAACTTGACTATTTGTTTCTTCCTTATACATTAAGTATTATTTGAGAAGGAAATAGCATAAGTACAAAAAGCTCATTAGTCAAAGTAGGCCATCATGTTATTTACTAGGCTTCTATGGAGAACATCACAACACAATACATTGTAATGTGGAGTTGGAAAACATGACCAGTTGTATTGGTTGTGTTTAGATTTGTGCCCAGGATTTTCATTTAGGTATATGTTCACAAGAAGTTTGACTTCTGTAAGGATATAGTTCTGTATAATATGGGGATAGATAATATAGCCTCTGTCTCTTCACAAAAACATAAGATTTACTACATAAAGTTTTTCCAAAATTGAATCAGACCATCTGAAACTGTTTGTAGCATTCTCCCATCCCATGCAGTTCAGAAATGAGCTATGTGTGACCTAATGTGGGCCAATCCTAGCCCTTTCACAGGATTTTTTTGTTTATTAATTTTTTGTTGTTTTTACATCTTAACCAAATTTCCCCTCCCTCCCCTCTTCCACATTCCTTCCACATACATGCCCTCTACTACTTCCCACCCACTCCTCCCCTACTGTTTCTCTTCAGATACAGGTGGGCCTCTCATGGATATGAGCCAACCAAGGTATATCAAGTTGCACTGAGACTAGGCTCCTTCTCTTCTATTAAGGCTGGACAAGACAATCCACTAGGAGGACTGGGTTCCCAAAACAGGCATCTGCTCTCTGCTGTTAGGAGTCTTACCGGAAGACCACATTAACATAACTGTAACATATATGCAGAGGGCCTAAGTCAGTACGATGCAGGTTGGTTCAGTCTCTATGGGCCAAATTATTTCTAATGATTCTGAAGTGGTTCACATAGAAACAACAGTTTTATCTTAAAGTCACACATTAATCTCCTTGTTCTGCGTAGATCAGGTTGAGTGCCCTATAATATTGTAAAAAGATATCAGTCAATAAATCTACCAGTTGATCTTAGTTTTACCAGGTACCTTCTTGATAATGAGGGATTCTGGAGCCCAGCATGGGACCTGGTACATCCATAGGCACTACAGGTAGCCATTTTGTCCCTTTTGCCAGGGAGTTTCCTTAGGGCTTACACACCAGTCTTTTGTTGAGTCTAAGGAGCAATATACTTTCTTCCCTAACTTCTTCTCAACTGAAATTAGGACACAGTTGTCAGGTCACAGGAATGTGAGACTGTTAGTCAAAGGCCAGGAGGGGATTCAGACAGTGGGGTACTCATCAGAAGCATCTGGTTTGCTGACCCAGTTCAAGAGACAGAAAGCAATCACATTGGACTGGTTCACATCTGTAGCCAGAAGATTTCCTGTGTCCCAGCCTGCCAGCGGTTGGGACAAATCTCTCCAATTCGCATCCCCCAAGTAAACATACAGAGGCTTATACTAATTATAACTGCATGGCCATGGCTCAAGCCTTTTGCCAGCTAGCACTTATATCTTAAGTTAGCGCATAACTATAAATCTATGTATCGCCCCATGTTCCATGGCTTTACCTGTGTCCCATTACATGTTGCTCCTTGGGCAACTCCTGGTGTCTCTCTCAGTCTTCTTCCTGTCTCTCTCTTTGGATGTCCTGCCTGCCTCTAAGTTGCCTTGCCAAACGGCTTTATTTATCAACCAATCAGAGCAACATATATTTGCAGTGTAGAGAAAGACATTCCCCTATCACATATCAGCTTTCAATAAGTCCAGGGTTCTCCAGTTTTGTAGGACTAAGAGGGACTGGCATGGTGTAGATCACATTCAGAGCAGTTTGTAGTCCCCAATTGATTTTTGCATGGTGTATTTTAGTGATGTGGAAATCTGTCAGGACAGATATAGTCAAGGGGTGGAAATTAAAGTTAAGGAACTTAAAGGAAACTTTTCCATTTGGAGCTTCCCCTTCAGGGTTAGGCAGCAGGCAGGGAAGCTTAAGCTGCTAATTGACAAGACAAGAACACTTGTCTGGAGTTTGTTTGACTGGTGACTGGAGGATTCAAGTTGTGACTTCCTGAACTTAAGTGAATTTTTAAGTTACAAAAAAGAAATGTTATAGATACACTAGCATTAACACTGTTTGTAATCTTCACTGAAATGATCATTGTGAGCATCTGTAAAACAAGAGCCATGCCTTGGAGTAAATAACAAAGGCTTGGGAATCCTCTAAACAGTTCTGAATTAAGAAGCATTATCACTCTTTCCTCTGTTTAGAGGGCTGGTAATATACAGGTTGGAAAGAGATGTTTTCAGCATGGTGAGAAGCACTTTAAGTCTTACAAGACAACCAAAGAAAATTTAAAATCTTGAGCTCATGACTATGATCATTACTTTATCACAGCTAGATTAATAACTTATCAGAGTTCTATTGATTAATGTTAAAACGCTTAACTTTTGAATTTTAATATAACAAGAACATAGTGGGGGAAAGAAGTCTGATATGTTTCTCATATTAAATTGTTTCTTATACCTTTTCAATTTGAATTTACATATCTTAAAACATTTTTAGACCTTCACAACTTACTTAAGCCTTCACATTCTCAGACCTTTTTGTTTTATTGAATCATTTACTATGAGACACTAGTAATTGATTATAATTGGCCATGACATAAATACAGCAGGTGACAGTTATTGTTCAGATGTGAACCCATCAGATGAATGGTTCCTGTTGGAGGAGCCCTGTTAAGCAGGGCTTGTAAGGCCATGGACTCTGAAAAAACTGTTAATCCTGTCTGTAATTTTGTTTGTGCAAGAACAGCTGTGATGGCTCCCCATTACCATGTATTTTCATGTAATGTATCTTATGGGCACACATATTTGTGGATGGTCAGGAAGATGACTTCTCATTAAACTGCATAATATTGATGAACAGAAACATACTAAAATATGCTTTGTAACTAGATCTATTGTTCTATGTGGACTATAGACACTTAGAAGCCTGTTCTCTGTGATTAGCCTTACTAACAGGGCAATTTGGCCAGACAAGTGTCAGTGTGAACAGACTATAAGTGGAACCTTCACAAATTTAATTATGGAATTGCAGGTGTCTGGCCTTGTAGGATCAAAGCCCTTCTAAAGATTAATAGCAAACTGGGGCAGAATTGCAGATGTCTGGCCTTGTTATGTCATAGTCCTTCAAGAGATCAATAGTGACTTATATTGTCCCAAGCATCCTCTGCTGGCCCTTATCAGAGCCACAGCACATCCTTTCTCTGACTCAAAAAAGTAACTAATGTTTTGTATACGTGTCCACATTGGTCTTTAATCAAGATTTAAGCTCAATTTACCTTCAGTCCTGGATTTTATGCAAATAACAGATAGTTAACCAACCAATTAATCTAACCCAGTCTGAAAAAGATTCAGCATTAAGCTCAGAAAATGCTCTCCAGCTTGCTAGAGATATGAGATAATTGCTCAGTCTCTCAGGCATGGACAAAAAAACGTTACTGGGTCCCCTCCCTTGGTTCCGAGACTGCTGTAGGGCAGAAAATGTATTCTTAGATCTGAAATGTCACTCTTCTATGCGGCCAGTTTTGGTGAAACTGCTAAGGGGAATTGGTGCTGTTTGCTTCTTCTTTGCTTACATAGGTTGCCATGGTTACTTACTGTACCTGCTTTCATAGGGAGGTGCATTCTTTGAGGCCAGGGAAATCAGCACTTTCTGCGTTTTTGCATTTTTATGTCTTACTAATTACAAAATACTAGCCTACATTTTTTTTTTTTTTTTTTTTTTACTTTTTTGAGACAGGATTTCTGTATGTAGCTTTGGAGCCTATCCTGGAACTCACTCTGTAGACCAGGGTGGCCTGAAACTCACAGAGACCTGCCTCTTCCTCCTGAGTGTTGTTATTAAAGGTGTGCACCACCATACCTGGCTAGCCTACATTATTAGTTACACTTCAAAAATGTAAAATATTACATGTATGTATTCTTTGCTTTTTCCTTATATCTCTCATTGGTTTAGTTTCTTCCCTTTGTAACTCTTGTAGCTCTTCCCTCAAGAGATAAGTTGGAACTTTTACAACACACAGCTACTGTCAGCCACCTTAAGTTTAAAGACTACAAGTCTTTGCTACAAGGGACTTTCATCTTATCTACAAAGAATGCTTGTGACCCTGAGAATTTTACCTTGTAACCCTTTTTATTACCAACAAGTTGCTAATGAATGGATATACACATATGCTTGGAAGTTTGTAACTGGTAGAATAAAGAGCATAGAAGAAGAAAGAGCATGGAACAATAAAGAGCATGGTAGTATGAAGAGCATTTTCCCATGTGTGAAATTATTACAGAAATCTTTCTTCCCTCGCTTTTGGGGAGCATTTCTCTGAGGAACTCTGGGTAGTGGCTGGGAGCTGGACTCTCAGACCCTACAGTTGATTACTGAGAGCACTCATTACAAAGCAAGTTATTTTAAATAAAGGCATAATGAAAAAGTTATGTTGAAACTTGTTTTGTGAGTTTATCTTTTTCAATGTAAAGTCTGCCATCAAGGTAAACTGCCTGTGTCTGTGTTTCTCAGGTGACCTAGTAGCTTTAGAAAAGTGTGGCCTGATTTTACATATAAAATGAACTGACCAGGCAGCCATAGCCTTGGGTGAGAAGCTGGGTGCCTGACACCACCAAACTGTCAAAGCTGTAGTTGGTTATCAATACCATCAGAGTTCTGAGAATGATAAATTGTAGCAGGAAATATAAACCAAGTAGACCCTATATAATTTAACATGACAGAGGCTCACCAGACTTACCTGAATGATAACCCAAGGCTCCAGTAGTCTCAGTTACTTTATTTCAGGCAGAAGTAGTTGTCTTCAGATGTCACATTGGATAACATTACACCTTCAGCTGCTGCACAAGATAGCATAAGTCTTTGACTGCCAGACCCAGATGGCCCAGATTTTCCTATGGAGGAGGAACATGGAAAACTAACCCACCTTGATAAGGCAGAGTAGGGCCATTGATACAGGCCACAGAAATATGAAGTAGGAATTCAGTTGACAATGACAAAGCTATTACCTGGAAGAGTCAAGAAATTTTCCAGAGGAAAGCCAAAACTCAAGGAGTCTTGGTGATATTGGCTTTTAGATGTATTAGCTGTATCCTGCCATGAATTTCTGTAGCCTTCTCATTTGATTACTCTGAGAAGAACTTCTAACAGTGTGATTGATCTTTTATTTGGTCACAACTTCCCCTATGCTTTTGGAGTATTTGGATAACATTCTCCAGCTGTGTTTACTCTTCATTAGCAAATATCTGGCCAAGGCCATTCTCCAGACAAAAGTATTTTATCTAAGATACTTCCTTGCTAACTGCAGATAGATAAGTATTAGCTCATCTCACCTAGAGATAAGCAAAAATGACTACTAGCAATTAAATCCTCAACTCCTTAACTTTCACCCTAGTTTATTAACACAAGACCCTAATTTAAGAGACTTACTGCTTACATTTCTGGGATGATGTTTTGGATACCTGCAAGTTACTGAGTAAGGTAGTTATTTCCCACTTAACTAAGGACATTACCAACAAGGTCAGGTGGAGGATAGGTGCCAAGCTTCATTTCTTGTGCAAATCAAGCTTTTATCCTCACTCTTTTATCTCAGTCCAGGTGCTACTTCTACTTCTAAAGATTGCACACTTAGCAATTTTAACTCAGAGCAAAAGTGCTTTCACTAACCAAATACTATACATTGTGATGTAGGTTGCCCAGCAACTGAGTAAACTTCCCCACTCTACCAGAAAGTGGGCAGCCAGAGAGTTGCTGATTGTATCTGTATATAAACTGAAACTTTAGAGTCTGAGAGAACAAAGATGAGAATGAAGATGGAAAGAACAAGATAGGACAATGAGAGAACAGCAGAAGGGACAGCGAGGAGCTAAGTGTAAGAACAGAAAAGAAGATGTGTAGATAGGATTGACTTAGAAATAAAGTGAATGGACTAAAAAGCTCAGTGTGCTTAGATTCATTTGGTATTCCTCAGACTAGTATCCCAACTGCTTGTAGCATCTTCCCCAGGACTCTGACCCCAGTTTGAGTAGGGCCCTGGAAGGGGGTGAGTCATGTGGCAGCTCTTCATCCAGTGGTTAGCATTACCACAATACAAATGGAGTTGTCTGTGCCCCATCACCTGCTTTGGAGACCTTATTGTCACCAGTAGGATTTGACAATTCTGTTTATCACAGAAAGCTTTTTGTAAAACATTTTAAATGCTATATTCAGCAGATTCCTGAAGTGTTTGAGGACCATTATCAATTAAGTATACCTGATTGTAAATAAACTTTGTTTTTAGGCTTGACCTTGAAAACACACACATATCCATATATAAGTATGTATGTATAAAGCACTGGCCACACACATATCCATATATAAGTATGTATGTATAAAGTACAGGTGGGACAAGGAGAGAGGAGAATTGAGGGAACAGGAAGAAGGAGGAGGAGACACTGCCAGCCACCACCAGAACAAGCAGCATGTAAAGATGCCAGTAAGCCACAAGCCACGAGGTAAGGTATAGATTTATAGAAATGGGTTAATTTAAGATATAAGAACAGTTAGCAAAAAGCCTGCCATGGCCATACAATTTATAAGTAATATAAGCGTCTGAGTGATTATTTTATACGTGGGTTGTGAGACTGCGGGGTTTGGTGGGACCTGGAGAGAAGCTCTCTAGCAACAAAAAAACCTTGCAATTCTTGAATTGAAGCTTTTTAAATATCAATAAAAACTTTAAATCATAAATACAGTCCATAGGGAGATGGCAACTTTACTTTCCTGGTTCTTTTATAATGTACCATTATAAATTATGACAGTTTCCTGTATGACTCAGTTTATCAAAATAGCTAAGGTTTAACGAAGTTAGCAAAGACAAGAAGGATAGACATACATTTTTAATTCAGTTTCTGTTAGCCTGGATAGACCTTAGATAAGGAGAGACATTCTATATGTTCTTTGCCCTTAGACCATTGTCTTGCCACATCATAAGATAGAAATATCCTAGTGTCTGGTGTTTTATGTTTGGTGCTCATAGTTGTGGCCTTAACACTTTAACCTTTTTATTTTTAAGATTATATTTTAACAAAGACATCATAATATAAAACATTTTATAAACTTAAAAAGCTCCATAATTTTATAAATTTTAATATTTTAAATGTGGTTTCTTTTTTTAAAAAAATCCATTTTTTCTGTAAAACTCCAAAATTACTTTTTTTTTAAAAAATTGTAGATCCAGTAATATCAAAAAATAAATAAAAACCCTTCACACAGCTTGTCTTCTAGGTTCTAGCCAGCTCCATTTCATTGTGGCTGTTGTTCCTGATTTTCAGCACATGGCACCAGCATCCCCAAAATTGTTGGGGTCCCCAATGCAACTGAGCTGCACCTCCACCAACAGCCTCTCTTGTGGTCTCCCCAGGAATTCCAGTTTTGCCACATAGGGCCAGGCCCAGCTGCTCTCTATGACCTCTTCATGCCTTTAAAATGTGACTTTTACATTACAAAGTTTGGCTGTTATCATGAGATAAATTCTTGTATATGAAGACATGGAGGTATGGATTTAATATCTCACTAAACAAGTGTTGTTTTTAAATCTTATCTTTCATAAACTTCATTTTTATGATTGTTTTCCAGACAAGAATTATTTTACAAAAATCCATCCTAATCCAAAATACCTCAGAGGCTTGTTGTTGCCACCATCATTGGTTTATACTATGTGGTGACACGAAACAGAATAGTGGTAAAGTCACATGGCATATGCCCTCCTTATCCTTATTGAAGATTGTTGCCAGCAATGTGGTTACCTCCATCCTGACAGGAGTCATCAACCAAGATGGCATCAGGCCACATGATTGGTTGTGTACTCAAGGTGAGCCCATTAGGTACATATCTCTTTAAGATTACCTATGTGTAAATTTTTAACAATCAACCCCATGCCACAAGATTTAACTTTTGTTATAGAATTTGCAGATTCTTTAAACAGACCAAATAAACTCATTAATCTTGAAGTACAGAAAGCTCATATAATGGTCATACAAATCTTATGGTAAATTTTCTCTTAGAAAAAGTTTCAGGCAATTAAATGAAATTACATTTATTTATTAGCCATTTCTTTTTGCTCTGCTATCCTTGCCACAAAGTCACATGGTATACCTGACACAGGAAAGTTAGAGGAAACATTTAAGTAAGCGTGCTTGGGTCTAGAGGAGGGCGTGCCATATCCCAACTCCAGAGCCAGCTTTTCAGTAGAATAGAACAGCATCAACCAATATTATAATACTATCTACACCCAAAATGCAGAGATCAGGGCAAGCAAAGAACAAAGGAAACTCAGAGATAGGAGATTCTGGGAGGGCCCACTACATCAGTGAGGATTAGGCAGACAAGCAAGGGAGAGAAAGAGAGAGAGAGAGAGAGAGCAGGCAGCTGGAACATCAGCAAGGCTTAGTTTGTCCTGTCTATCTGTAACTGGGAAAGATTAATGAAGGCACAGATATATGTAAGTAATGGAGATGACACCACCAAAATGAAACCAACAACCACAGGACACAGATCGGTGCCTGTAACATGAGTCTTGAAGGGTCTTATTAATAAAAAACTTGGGAGTCAGATATTGGGGTGAATTTTGAAAGATCAGAGAGACAGAACAAGCCACACCTAACTTCACCTCTCCAACTTCTTAGAAGATCCTTTTTCCTCAAACTGGAAGCCTCTGTGTGCTCATCTAAATGGATCTCAGCTGAACTGCTGCTAAAGAGCCTAAAAGCCTAACCAGAATCTGGTTCCTGGTCCTCCCACCTTATATACCTTTCTGCTTCCTGCCATCACTTCCTGGGATTAAAGGCATGTGTCACCATGCCTGGCTGTTTCCAGTGTGGCTTTGAACTCACAGAGATCCAGAGGGATCTCTGCCTTCAGAATGCTAGGATTAAGGGTGTGTGTGTACCACCAATTTCTGGCCTCTATATCTAGTGGCTGTTCTGTTCTCTGACCCCAGATAAGTTTATTAGCGTGCACAATATATTGAGGAACACAATATTACCACAGGTGCCCACCAAGACATACCAGACTGATTTCCATTTCAGCCTGACCAAACTGAGAAACTAGACTGATTTCCTTTACAACCTGACCAAACACAGAAGACTGGCAGCACCCCAGAGGTTCCTCTGACTCAGGAATTGATGCTGCATCCAGATGCTGCAGACAGACAGGAGGATCCTTACCTACACCTCTTGAGGTATTCATATGCCTCTTTTGTATAGTCTAGGCACTGATAACTCACCAGAGGCTCATGAAGTGCTGGGTCTTTTTAATTTCTTGGCTTACAGTGTCTCCAGGCTGGGCCTATCCTATCTATTGCTCCCAATGTCACTAGACACCTTTGTGTCTCAAGGCTCTGTTGTGAAGTTTCAGCATTGAAACCCTGTAAGTAGGCACCCGACTGCAGATCCTTTCCAATTTCCCTCTGGATTTCCACTATCACTTGGGCATCCTAAGGGTCCCATGGCTGGTTAGAAAAAAAGAACTGATGGCTCTGGATGAATGTCTAGATCTCAGTGGAACCTCCAAATGTTATGGGTCTAGAGTTGTTCAGAGATTTACCTGTCTGACCATGAATAAATTTTAATAAATAAGAGACTTCATTAAATACTCTGGCCAGGACCATGGATACTGGCCAGGTCCATATCTGAAATGTGGGATTCCCAGGATATGGAACCAAATTACATTAGTCAGGGGGTTATAAAGGCAGAACTTACAAGGGTATGTCTTGCCTACTTGTAATTAATTAAGCACACATCCTATGTAATTAGGGCAACTGAGCTTGTTTACAGAATCAAAAAATACAGGACTTGTTATCTTGCCTGAAACAATATCCCCCAGCAGTCTAGGAAGTTATCTGTCCTTGAGCAAGTGGAACTTATCTGTTAGAGGGGTTTTTGTTTTATAGATCTCTTCAGCACAGAAATTTAAACGTAAAAACATAATGTTAGCCATCACAATGATTTTGTCTTTTCTCTTGAGACTGTCATGTTCTCTGGCAAAAATCTTCACCAATATCTTATAGAGAACATTGACTTGCAGATATCACTGTTTTAGGAAACAAGGAAGTGAAAACAACTGTAGTTTTTCAAACTCAACCTATAGAAATTCTCTTAAACTTTATTAAATAAACATATGCTTCTTCCTGTGCCAGAAGTCTCACAGTTGAGACACATTCTGTGTTATCTTTTCTAGGAACTCAATTTATAGTTCTTAAATGAGGGGGTGCATTATGACATTTTATCCTTCCATCTTAAAGCAGAGACTGCCTTGAGCAAGCATCTGTGCCAACTCACTATCAAAACTGTAGATGCAGCTACTTTTATGTGGTCAGAGTGGTGTAATGAACACTCCTTAGTAGAAAGAGGAGAGGAGGTCCTCTCCTGGGATTCGAACTATTCTTTCCTTCCTCCATCTACTTGAAAATGAACTTGAAAGTTTGACTGAAATACATACTCTATCATGATGGTGTGGGATGTTGTGATGATGCACTCATGCGACTATAAGTCCTAACCCACACTATGAAAGGAAACCCAAGAAACTCATTGGTTCACCAATTGGACTTTTGTGAACTTGAAATTTGCTATGCTGTTGATGTTCTTCCTACCTTGGGTGAATG